TGTGTCCTAAAGAAGATATTGATAAAAGAGTCATTGAGAGAGTGCCTTATAGGAGCGCAGTTGGGTCCCTTATGTACGTCATGATGGGAACAAGACTTGACTTATCTTTTGTCATGAGCCTGGTTAGTCGTTTCCAAAGCAATCGTGGAGAGGAGCATTGGAAGCAGTTAAGAGAATCATTAGATATTTAAAAGGGATCATGAACGATGCGCTCACATACAAAGGGGGAATTGAAATAGCAATAGAGAGATATTCAGATGCAAGCTATCTCGAGGATCTAGATGATGCGAATTCTACATCTGGATATGTGTTTATGCTTGGAGGGGGTGCAGTTTCTTGAAAGTCGAAGAAACATGATATAGTAGCATTATCCACCATGGAAGCTGAATATGTGACATACTGTCTAGCGGCCAAGGAGGCAGTATGGATTAAGAAGTTTCTTAATCAACTCAATTTTTTTCTGTGGATTATGAGGCAATAAGGATTTTCTACGATAACACAGCGGCAATTTACGTGTCTAAGGAGCCACAGTTTCACAAGAATTCCAAGCATATTAAGCCCTATTTCTATCACCTAAGGAATGTGGTGAGATTGAAAGAGATCAATATTAGCTATATATCCACATTTTTGATGATCGCAGATCCTATGACTAAAGGGGTTGCCCCTAATGTTTTTGTAAGACATGTGAAAGAGATGGGCATGAAAGAAAGAGAGGAAAAAAGAATGTAAGGCCTTCAAAGGCTAAGTGGGAGATGTTGGGTTTATGTGACCATTAAAGGCCTTATGAGTATTTGTAACGAAAACATTTGATATAGTAGAACATAAATTCAATGGGAATGTGGTCTCTCGTAGACCATACTATGCAAGCAGTGTTTGTAGATACTGATCTGTGCTTAACGATCTAGGCCAGTCGATTGGGAAAAACCCATGTTACCTAGGCATGAAGAACAAACTGACGAGGGTTCATAGGTTAGCCCTTGATGAAGTCAGAGAATATGCCCGGATGAGTGAGCTGAGGGACTGTGTAACCCTTATATATGAAGGTGACTTACAGAGATGGGGGCCAAAACTTCTTTCATGTATCATCACACGACATGCATATCGATTGATCGTTCGGGAAACCCAAAAATCTACTTGTAGGGTGAAGCGTATGCATGTGCAAGAGATACCCCTATGCGTCATAGAGCTGTGGTCACATAAGGTCTTAGTGACCTTGATTCGTCTATAGGGGAGGACCTATAATCCACAGACTGGGATTGCGACCCCTTGGCTCATCAGCTTGACTTTGGTGACCCACTAATGAACCCCTGCTTGGACTATAGGTCATGGGAAACACTAGGTCGGTCTGATAAAGCAAGTGTGGTCTGTAGTCCACAATTGAAGATAGAGTACCCCATGATTGTTAGTTGAATTCCTAAACCATATAGATCAATTTTCCATTAAATTAATTTAATTATGTTTGTTTTATGATAATGATTATTTTAGAATTATTATTTGAATTTTTATGAACCTTTGGATATTTTATTTATACTTTTTGGACTTGTAAAATTAAAGATATTAATTTTATAATATTTTAATATTCACTAGAAATTATTTTGTTAATTTTAAATGTATAAAAAATAATAATCATTGGAGCCCATTGTGCACATGAACCTACTATGTTTTCTAAAAGGTGAGGCCCACATGTGCCTCCCATAGGTGGCATGCCCCACCTCTTATTACTTTCTATTTTATGAAAAGTTTTGTTTTGTGGTTCATGTGACTTTATGTTATGGTAACTTTAAATTGTGACATGCGGTCAAATTATGGATTGAGTATGTATTGACCATATATTGACTTAATATGGAAGTATATATTAACTTGATATATCTTTGATAGATTTTATGGAAAATATCTGTAGAGATGTGCTAATTTATGGAATGTACAATATTTAATTAAAATTAATTTAACTTATTATCTATTGATGGGAAAATGGTTTATGAAACGGGGATAAAGGTTCATGCATATTCTATAATGTTGATGACTCATCTATGGAATTGATGACTCAGATCTCTCACCCCACAAGTTATCCATGATCAACGGTCCATGTTCAATTTTATATAAGAGGCAAACTATGAGAAACCCTAAAGAAACTCTAGGCTTAATTTTCTCTATAAATAGAGGACCTCCCCACTTCTATTCTCTACACTAAAAAAACCTCTCTTATCTCTCTTTCTCTCTAAAATCTCTCTTCTGTCTCTAGAGGGGCACACCTCGACCCTAGGCTCTCTACTCTCTCTCTCTCATAAAACCCTAAGGGGTACATACGCCCCACACATCTCTCTCCCTCTCTAAGTCAACCTAAGGGGCACGCCCCAACTAGGAGAGATATCCCTCTTTCTTTTTATTTTATGATTAAGGGTTGGGTAGTAAGAGATGCTTTGAATTAGGCATTAAGGATTTGAGCCAAGGTTTAGGGTTTTGAGATCAAAAGGGGTTCAAAAATCCATAAAAGAATAACTTAGTTGAAATTTGCTTTCCCGATCTGAGATTAAAGCTAGATCGTCAATCCCACGCCATCGGATAGTAGTGACTCGGTGAGGGGTGTAATAAGCCCGGTTGAGATAATCTCCGGTACTCGTCAATTTGTTTCTTGTAATCTTATCTTTTATTCTCAAGCATAATGCATAGTTATTTCAATGACATCAAGTTGTTAAGATCTTGGTTTTATTGTTATGTTGATTTTATTTTAAAATTTATCTTGTTGTTAAGATCCTGCTTAAGAAAAGGTGAAATAAATAAATAATAATAATAATAAAATTCATTCTCCAGTAAAATATCACATAGGTCTTTTTTTCAGCTTCGTCCATATTGTCCGTAGATTTAACTCTACGGCGGATTCCTTAGTAAATGAGGCTACCTCTTGTCTGATTCTGTCCGTTCTCTTCTTCATTTCCTTCGCTGTCTCCCTTCTTCCTCTTCACCTACTTCTATCTCCCCCCTTTTTTTCTTCTCTTCTTCGCCTTCTCTTTTTTTTTTGGTTGTCTTTTTCCTTGTAATTTTCATTATCTTAATGAAGCTCTTTTTTTTTCAAGAAAGAGGCGATCACTATGTTCCTCCTACGCTGATCATTATAAATATTGAAATTCCTTGTCATTAAAGCAGTCATTGTGTTTCTATCACCCTTTTTTGCAAAAGAAAAATTTTTTATGAGTAAGCGGGTGCAAGAGCTTCCTTGTCACTAAAAAGCAATCATTGTGTTTTTATTACCCTCTTTTGTGAAGGGGAAATCGTGTCATGAGTGAGCTGAGTGCAAGAGCCCGCATAAATACAAACGTTCATCGTAAAGGTGGACGTTATCTAAAGTGCATTGTCCATAAATAAAATACGGACGGTGCATAAAAAATATTAAAAATTACATTTTTAATTTAATTTTTTTTTTCCTTTTCATATTTATGATCATCTTGGCCTAGATGATGAATCTACAAAAAAAAATTAGAAAAAAAAAAATCATCTAAAATGAATTTTTTTTAGTGGGGGGCAACATATATACATATAAGTTGGCCAACTCATGAAAACCCCATCCTTCGCAAAAAATAAAAAATAGAAAAATAAAAATAAAAAAGCCTCATAATTTCCCTCTATGAAAGCAGTCATTTTATTACTCCCATTTTGGTCAACAACCCGTCTTGAAAGCAATTACATTTCTCGATGGTTGCTTTTCTATTATTCTCATCAATCAAAACAATACAAATCGACCATAAAAAGAAATTTCTCTATATAATTCCCTGTTATGAAATCAAGCACAACGACCGTTCTCTCCTTCTCACTTATATTTAATATCCATTTCTTTTAATATTTAATATCCATTGTTATGGGACTCGGCTGAGTCTTACATGGAGTTGTATGTACAGCTTATGGAACATTAGAAAATCCTAAAGAAAAAAAAGAAAAAAAAGGAATATGGGATTATTATATAAAGGGTGCGGTTTGTATAAGGCCGAGGTTCTAAACAATCAAAGTAAAGCGCACTTTCAAATAGTATCCAGAAATGTGGTTGCAATATTGAAAATCTTTGTGATAGTCTTAAAATATATTTTAATTTCTAATTATAAAATTTAAAACTTCAAATATAGTATAGATAGAGTAGATCTATGAAAACTTGAAAATCTTGAAAATTGAAGGTCCAAAAATGCATTACAAGATACACTATTTTCAAAACTTGAAATCCATTTTTTCCTCATTGCCATGCATCTTGAGGTTGAGATAATTAATTTTAGGATTTTTTAGCGTCAAAACAACCTCTTCTAGTGAAAATTTTACGGTATGCCTTAATTTGATTGTTTTGAGCCTCGTACTTATATAAACCTTTTTTTATATGAATTCTTTAGAGATAGTTAGATGTTTTTGGCAAAGATTAGTAGGTTGTTTTGCTATGATATGTATATATATATATATATAGATATATTGTTTTAGATTCTCTAAAATATCTCTAATTACAAATTAATATTTTTAAATCTATTTTTTCTATAACTTTTTAAGCTTATGTGGAATTTTTAAAGTTGCTTTTGGCTTTGTTGAACTTGTACTTCGTTTTATTTTTTTAATATTTTATTTTAAAAATTTTCTAGGACTTGTGGTCTTTTTCGGTACATGGGTGAGTGCACAAAATAACTCGCCACGAGCCAAGGTCAATACCGGGCTAGAGGCATGTTTTTAAACATTTCAAAAAAAATACTAAGACACTCGAGGTTGGATGTTTTCTTTAGAATGCCCAACCCCCTTGTTAAAATTTCTCTTTCACCCATTTCTTTGAAATACCTTTTTTTCTGATTCAAGATACTTTTCAATTTTATTTATAACAAAAATATCCTTACTGCTATTACAAAAATTAAAATAAATATTTATATTTCTCTTTTACCTAATTTTCATATATATTCATCTCTCTTTCTCTGAAAATATAAATGGGTTAGTTTCTCGCTCTAGAGATCATCAGGTCAGGTTTTGATAGACACGATAAGGACAGCTTAATCCTGATAACAGAGAGTTAAAAAACAATATGCGTTCCACATGGGTGGGACACATATGATGCAAAACGACAACCTTCCTTGCTTTACATATGTCATCGGCTTCGTATGGATCCTTCCTTGACATGGTCATTCCATCAAATAAGCAAAGTGAAGAAGAAAAAGAAAAAGAAAAAGAATCCCACATCACACCACCATTAAAACCCACAAAGAAAAATAAATCCTTCTTAAAACACCCACACCTTAAAAACTAGAAAAGGTGATCAGCAAGTCAATTTCTCTACACCCATAAAGAGAGATGAAAACACTCTACATTGCTTTTCCTCCTTGTTCCTCATCCTCTTCTTCTTTCTCCTTGTTTTCTTGTGGGATGGCTTCAATTGAAGATGCCCATAGCTGTTGCCTTTGGTGCACACCCCTTGAATCCCACTAAACCAACAAAAAAAATTCACCATTAGATGAAGAAATTATAAGAGATCAAACTGATATAAAAGAAGATATTGGAAATATAAAATAAGTGAATGCATATACGTTGAGGGGAAAAGAGGGGAAGCTCAAAATTTTAACTTGTAACTTATCGTAAATAATTGGGATGAAGCTTGGATGAAGATGATAATGATAATGTTGTTTGATATGCGTAAAGAGAGAAGAAAGAGTAGTAAGATCTAAGTTTCTATGTAGCTTGGTATGTTGGTGAAGAGAAAGAGAGAGCAATTTTCGCCGCAACTAACCTGAAACGAGCCGGCACCTTCGATCTTCTCGTCCACACATTGAAACCAGCCTCCTCCAACCTCTCTCTGCACCTTTTTCTCCCCTTTCTTCAATCCCAGCAAGCCTCTCCACCTCACCTTTGAAGTCCGCCTCTCTTCCTCTTCTTCTTCCTCGGCAGTCTCCAGCTCCTCCCTCAAAGTAGCGATTCTTCTCGGCTTCAAAGAAGACGGTCTCAGCCTCCCCTGGCAGAATATCTCGTCAGCTGTCACCATTCCGCAGCCACCACCCCCGAGAGATGAGAACTCGAAATCTGAGTCGCCTACTGCAGGCGGCCGCAGTGGTGGCGGCACCCCTGATTCCAGCTGGGACGAGGCGGCGGTCACATCCGCAAAGTCATTGGAGAAGGAGATCCTGGGGCACAGCCCACCCTGATGATCCGAGCTGAACATGTCGATGCAAGCCATGCGCCTCCCTCCCTCTCTCTCTCTCTCTACTCTTCTCTAAACTTCCTGCTCTCTCTCTCTCTCTCTCTCTATGTATATATCTCTGCTCTTCTTCTATGTTGCAGAAAGGGTGGAAAGGTCTTTATATACACGTAGAAGGCTGCGGAAGTGAGTAAACAGTTGTTTTATTCTGTAAATTGGATTTGGATAGGTGCCACCAGCTTGGAAAACTGGACGGATCTACCCCTCTTTTCTAGAACTTGACGAAATTGCTCTTTCTCTCTCTATGCGTTCAAAGGAAGAGGGAGAAGTAGGACAATGGACCCGGGACCTGTTGGGTATATACCCAACACAAGTCCGGGTGTAGGTGCAACACTTGGATTGAGTGGGTCGGGTCCGAGTCCAAAATTTAGATTCGAATACTATATAGGTTTGAGTCTAGGTTTAGTTAGACCCGACTTGTACAAGTAAACTCTTGAAGATAAAACACTTTAAGCCCTATGCGTTTGGTGTATTAAGGATTATATACATTAAGAACTTGTAATCATTTTTATCTATTAAACGACAAATCAGATGGCTTGAAATCTTATTGTGACCTCGTTGTCAATAATATGAGTATATGATGATATAAAAAAAAAACATAGTGAGGGTAGCAATGACCTCGACCAAACCCAAGACTTATTGGGATAGGCCCAAGACCCAACAGGTGCGAGTATAGGTCCAACTTTTAGACCCGATGGATTTGGGCATGGGTCCAACTTTTGAACCGGACGGATCAAATACGGGTCCAAAATCAGGACCCGAATACTATTCGGATCGGGTCAAATACGAGTCCAAAATCAAGACCCGAATACCATTCAAGCCTGGATTCGGGTCCAACGGGAAACGACCCGTACCTGACCTGTTGACAAAGAGCAACTGCACAATGCGAGTGACCAAAGAAGATTCCCACCCGTGTACATTACTCCCTATTTAACCATACTATCCATTTACATACTTTGAGAGACTGTTTTCGTTAGGAAGCGGTCACTGTTGATGGAGAAACATAGATAGGGAGTAGTAGTCCTTTTCCCTCAATAGAAACTGTTTTCGTTAGGAAGCGGTCACTGTTGATGGAGAAACATAGATAGGGAGTAGTAGTCCTTTTCCCTCAATAGAAACTCTTTTCTTTCACTCCAATGGCATGTCCTGGCTACATGTGAAAGATCCAAACCTTTTCCCTTGATAGAAACTCTTTTCTCTCACTCCAATGGCATGTCCTGGCTATATGTTAAAGCCCTTTTTGGATCTTTATCATTTTGGAGAGTTTTTCTTGATAAGTATGGGAAAGTGCTTTCATATCTCAATGGGTCTGAAGTGGCGTTTCTACAAACCATTTACTAGCGTGCGGTTTGTACAGAGCCGAGGCTCTAATCAATCAAAGCAAAGTGCATCTTCAACCAGAACAGGAGAAATGTGGTTTTAACATTGAAAATCTTTGTGATAGCCGTAAAATATATTTTTATTTTTTATTACAAAATTTAAAGCCTAAAAAATAGTGTAGATCGAGGAATTATATGGAAACTTGAAAATCTTGAAAGTAGACAGTCTACAAATACGCTACAAGATGTATTATTTTCAAAAATTGAAATCTATTTTTTTCTCATGTCTATGCATCTTGATGTCAAGATGATCAATTTGATGATATTTGGGGAATCAAAACAATTTCTTTTAGTGAAAGTTTTGAGGTAAGCTTTAATTTGATTGTTTAGAGCCTCGGCTCTATATAAACTTTTTCCTTTACTTTATAAGGTATATATAGTCACCTGGTATGAAGAATTCCCATAGTTGAGGTGTGTCATAAAGTTTTTAAAAAATTCTTTCCATCAAATGCAGCCACCAAATTTTACATCTAATGATCAAGATCAATTGACCTTCATATACTAAATATAAATGGTTTTATTGTATACTTTTCCGAGGGTTATTCCCAAATACAAACATTGAAAAGCAGTCTTCGAACAAGGGAGAAGAAGCTTTCTAACAGTACTTATTATTCCCCTTGATGTAAACAACGGTGGAGATTAAAATCCTGGTCCACAGATGGACCGTCTATCCAATTACCAATCCATACATACAAAAAATGTGTAATAGCACGCGTATTAGTGGGCCCCTATCCCATTTTGGAACGGACCAGATTTGAAGGACACGTACGTGATAATGAATCCTGACCGTCAATTTTATAGTCGGAATCAGATGTCCATGTGAGAACCTGAGGCAATTGCTGGCCTGTTTTTATTGGGGAGGACAGAAATGCTCCCAATGAATTCGAGTTACTACGATCATGCCCTCAAGCCCTTGTTTTAGCCTTTGACCATGACCCTCGAATTTATTCATGATTATTAATGGAAGAATTAATGGAGGGTGCCGTGTGATACGTGCAAATTAAGTTACATGTTTTTCCGGGCCTGACATTTCTTTCATCATGAAACAAACACTTTTCAAACGTTCTTGAAATCCCCAATCTCTTTGCACACCTTTTACCCTGTCTTTTGAGAAAGAAAGACATCGCATCCATGTTTACCTCAACTTATTTTTGGGTTATCCATACCATATCTTTCAATATATAGGATATTGTAATGGAAAAAGTTTATATAGAGTTAGAGGCTCTAAACAATCAAATTAGAGCTCACTTCAAAAATTTCGTCAGAAGAAATTGTTTTGATGCTCAAATTGGTCATCTCGACATCAAGATGCATGGACATGAGGAAAAAAAAAGATTTTAAGTTTCGAAAAGAGTGCATCTCTTAATGTATTTTTTGACAGTAAATTTTCACAGACTTGTTCAATCTATACTATTTTTAAAGATTAAAATTTTATAATCAAAGATGAAAATATATTTTAATGCTATCACAAAAAATTCCAGTATTGGAACCACATTTCTCGATACTATTTGAAGTGAGCTCTATTTTGATTGTTTAGAGCCTCGACTCTATACAAACCGCACTTTATTATAAAAGTAGGTGAACTTTTCCTTAAAGAATTTGGTTTTGGATGAGCACCAAGAATTCGGTCTAGGGCTTAAGTTAGTGTAATTTAATGAATTCAAGACATGATGTATTGAGCAAACTTGAGAGAACATATTTTTGAATTTGGCTTTCTAATTTATAGCTCAAAAAGGACAATGGGTAGGCCCTAAAGGATATGGTTGGACCTAGTGATAAAAGATATGTGAATTTATGACTTTATTGAAAGTATTACCCTTGATAAAGCAAAATAGAGGACCAAAATTGACGTAGTTAACCCCTAAATAATTTGAAAAAAACTCTAATGATGATGATAATGACCTTCTAATCAACGGTTATCTACTGCAGCTAAGTTTTGAATCCCATCAACCAAAATGGAACAAAATTAAATGGGTGTGTTTTCTATAAAGTTGCAACCTTAAACAATCCAATTAAAGCGCATTTCCAAATTTACATCAAAACATTTCATCATACATATAATTTTGATGTAAATTTCTTTTAGGATTACCTCAATATCTAATTATAAAATTTTAAACTAAAAAAATGGTTAAAATCAAGCAGATATAGGATTACCTCAATATCTAATTATAAAATTTTAAACTAAAAAAATGGTTAAAATCAAGCAGTTATATAAACATATGAAAATCTTGAAAATAGACAGTCTAGATAATGTATTACAAGATGCATTATTTTTTGTACTCAAATTTTTTTTTTTTTATATTTATTCATTGCGATGTCGAAATGAACAATAAAAGAGTTTTTCAACATTAAAGATGGATTTTCGATATGCATCTTTAATTCTACATATTAAAGTTGCAACCTTCTATGAACTTTTTTCAAAATTAAATAGAACCAAATTTTGGCTTCAAAAATGAAAAGGATAAAGCAATCATCACATGTCTTTTCATAATATCTAATATCACACCCGTTCAAAAAAAAAAAAAAAAGATGAAGGCCAGGGCATTGAGGGGCTCTATGTGATATGATAGAACCTTGAGCTGACCCTTGAAATTTGTGAACAGCTTAGGGCATTTATGATAGTTTCACAAATTAGGAAGGGCATTTCCTTCCTTTGCCAATTTGGGCCACATGAGCAGGCCAGCAGAGCAATGCCATTTTGCTGGCAAAAAGAGAAGCAATTGGGTAAAAAGGCAGAGGGCTTGACAAGGGTTTGACCTGAGCTGGCGATGAGGACCCTTCACGGGGACCACGAGATGGCCTCACTATTCTTAATTCATTACTGCTCCCTTGAGTACAACTTAAAACTATAGACCCCATCGCCTTGGCTTGGCACACATTTCTCTAATTTGTAGATCCACTCACATGGTCACATGACACACATCACCCATACTTTTATTTTGGAGATTGCTATATGCAACCACTCTTTTTGCTACTCCCACTCAAATCATGGGTGTTTTAAAAGAGATGGTTGGCACTTGGATCGGATTGTTCAAATCGGATTGGATTGGGTTGGCCAGTCTGGTTCTTAGGAACCTTGGAGTCACTTGATTCTCTTGGGCTTTGAACAGTTTTTTTTCTTTTTAATGTATCCGTATGAAATTCTAAACATCAAACACATCTGAATTGCTAATCCAAACCGATTTTGGCACTTGGCTCTGGACTTTTAACATGCGACGTGAGAGCATCTAAAGCCCATATCTACGATTTAAAAAACGCCAGGTCGACACATAATCGTTTGGTCCGACTTGAGAATTGGTCACCCCATATGCTGATTCTATCAATATATAGGAAATCGTCTAGGTATAGAAAAAAACCAGCAATTTGCTACAGTAAAATAATGTTTTGTTATAATATAAATGATGTTTTTCTATAGTAAAAACGTTGATTCACCGATCTGGATCGGTTTTTGGCTGGTTCACTGTTTTTTGAGGCATTTTTTCGCGGGTTCACTATTTTTTATTTACAGTGAAACGACGACCCGAATCGTTAATTCATCAATCCGTACCGATTTTTGCAATGCCTGGTCTTGGTCATCGATCCATTTTTTAAATCACTTGTCCATATATTTTAAAAGTTTCACCCACCTTTTTTTTGGCGGGGCATACAAAAGGAAACAATGGATGTGTCAGCACTCCCGTTTTCTTTCCCTTCATCTTGAAGGCA